ACTGGCTTTCGAACATGGGAAACCTTTACCTTTTTATGTCAGGTCCGCACAACTGCTAATAACCAAGCCGAACACACTGCAGAGTACTGCAGTCTGCCAAAGGCTTAATAAATCTCTGGGGTCTGAGGCCTACCTGGGATGGTAACAGCGACCTAGTGCATCAACCACCTAGCAAGATAACATGTGGCCAAAGGGGAAACACCCCATCTTGCACTGGTCAGGACAGCTCCTATTTGAGATTAGGAAAATCACAGCCTTTTGTCTCATTACATGTGTATATTAAGCTACTCGTGCTGGATCAGGGCCACTGTCCTTTTCTGATAAGAGGGAAATCTCAGAAATATCTGTCTGAACCCCTCCAACAGAAATAGTAACTTGAACACACACACCCAAAGGCAACAGAAAGCTAGTCCAGCAAGAAACGGGCTCCCAGGTGGTCTCTGAAGCCCACCTTTGCTGTGGATTTACTACACAGTCGTTGTCAGCATCTCTGCTTCCCATTTGTGAAATAAAAATGGAAACAGAGACCTTCCTGAGAAGGCTAAATGCAATTAAATGCACTACGCAAAGCTGGAGTGCTATTGTAATAGTTGAAAGAACTTTTCACTCTCTACACAGATGCTATTGCAAAGTGGGAAAGCTCATGACATTCATGCATGTGCCTTGCTTGTCTGTTTCCACTGGGCCTGATACAGAGATCTGTGGAACTCTAAAGCTTGCGTTAACTAAAGAAACTAAACGTGACAATATTACCTTTGCTCATCCTTTTATTTCTTTTTTTTTTTTGCATCACTTCCAAGGCCAGAACAGCACTTATGCCACATTTTTATTTAAAACTTCCCTAAGGGGACAGCTATTACATACATTATATTTTAGACACACACGCTTTCCAGTGGAACTTTCTTTTTTAACAGTGCATGAAACCGTAGGTTCCTCTTAACCAGTGCATGAGCTCGCAAGGGACTTTGTACAGCGCCTAGCACTTCATCAAGATCACTACAATTTGGTCAATACATGTCCCTTATCACCCTCGGGCAATGTTATCCAGTGTCTAAGGGAGCAGGGTGGCACAGATATGGTCTGTGGGGAAACTAGAAACACAAGCTCCTTTTGCGATCTTTCAGATGTGCTAAGCACCATTTTTTAAAGTTGCCACAATTTTAAAGACCTCCCCTAACTGGTAAAAAGCAAGGCTACTGGGGGAGGGGGGGATGCATTCATACCTCACTTCATCAAAAAGTGACATCTGTTCCCAGCAGGTTTAAAAAAAACCCTAACCTGCTACTATAGTCTATACAAAAATGAAACCTGTATTTCTGGCCCAGGAGGCAAGAGCTAAGAGCAGTCTCCCTACCCATTTTCAGTCTCTTATCCTGCAGTATATACAAGGATTATTCTGAGGGACATGAGGCCAGCCTAGTGCGCCCCAGGACCTTGGTCGAAGAGGCACAATGGGCCAGAAGGACAGGAAGCAGTCATAACCCATTCCCTGTCCAAGGAGGCACAATGGGCTAGGACAGGAAGTAGTCATAATGCACTCGCTGTACAGGGAGGCACAATGAGCCAGAAGTACAGGAAGTAGTCATAACCCCCCTCCCTGCTCCCGCTGTTGGGAAGAGGGTCACTTGATGCAGTGAAAACTCCAAAGGGCAACAGGGTGGTGATGTTAACACCACAGCCAGACCCAGCCTGAATGCAAACATCAACAAACAGGCCAGCTGGTTCCAAAGAGATTTCCACCAGCTTGTTCCAAGCTAACAACTTCCCTTTTTATTACTAAGGAACAGAAAGAGACGCTGCATCAGAAACAAACAAGCCAAAAACTAAGAAGTTTGGTCAGAGGCAGACAACAGGAAAGCCCAGTGCAGAAATTCTCCGTGCACAATCTTCATCTGTATAACCACTCACACATTTCAAAACGAACTCTGCCCAGGAGAAGTTTGAAAACGAAAATGCAGAAAGGAAACTCATCGCAACAGAGTTAACGTGGATGCAAAAAGCGCCCACCGGAAGCTGCACGACTCCCTGCGAGTTATTTACACATGATCAGACTTTGCTCCTCGGTCGTGGAGTCAAAAGGATTCCAGAAGAGTCCCAACAAGGAATTCAGCAGAACAGGAGGCCAGTGGCGGGCAATCAGGCACCAGCCCTAAGGCATGGTTTGTGCGTGTTTGAACCACATTTTAATGGGGAGGGGGAGGAGGGAAGAGAGAGATCAGGTGTTGGCTTTAGGACTGGTGGACTTCTGAGTCGCATCTTTTATTTGAAACAGAGAAGGGATGGGGTGGGAAACCTCCAAATCAGGCATGAACTGGGAAGGTTGTCGTCTTAACCGCTGCGACTAAAAAAAGAAAAGTGCGCCTATTCTCTGTACACCACCTTGTGGCCTTTGAAGCAATGACGTGCCAGTAGCTGCTTTCCTGGGCCAACAGAAGCAGGCCAGTCTCTCTAACCCTCACTGTTTGCAACTAATCCCAGTGCCTTAACAGCCTTCCTTGCACCTGGGCCAGAAGCTCTGAGAACATGGTAACACAGCGGATTGTCTTTCCAGGGTAGTATTAGATACCACAATGCGCACACTGGAGCTCCCCCCAAAAAAAACTTTATTTAGGATCCCCATATCCTACTCAGAGCCTCTTTGGCTTCGAGTTCAGGTGCCCACCGTTTCCTTCCACTCTGAGACACAACTCCAGAGGCAACACAAATGAACAGTGGGGTGTTTTGTCCTGACATGGATAGCCCAGGCAAGCCTGATCTTATCAGATCTCGGAAGCTAAGCAGTGCTGACCCTGGCAAGTATTAGGATGGGAGACCTCCAGAGAATACCAGGGCTGGGGGGCCAGAGGAAGGGGATCAAGCCGCTTCTCTGAATGTCCTCCATGCCCCAGTAGGGGTTGCCAGAGGTTGCCAGGACTTCCAGTCAGGTGTTTTGGAGGGATGGGCCATGTCTTCTCCTTGCAGCATGTTAGAACATGTTCTAAGAGCAACCATACTGTCCGAGGTGTCCCCCCTCCCCCCAAATGCCATGGGAACTGTGGTGAAATCATGTAGGACGCAACTCAAACCAGCTCATTACATTTTTCAAAGGACTCATTTCACAAACCAAACCCCAAAACGTAGAGAGATGGGCAACAGAAGACAGTGTTTGTTGAAAGGGTAAAAGGGAGGAGCTTTGAGGCCTAGGCAGGTAACAGAAATTTTAGGAGCAAATGTTTTGGAAGAGGGTGAGGGAAGAAGGATGTGGCTGGCTTCGTCTGTGTGCGCATGCACACCTCTGCATGGCAGCACAGGGGAGGAAATGCACACCAGCCATTAGCAGAACTAAATTTCAGAATCTTGCTTAAAACACACCATGTATGAACCACAAAGTCCACTGAGAAACTTATGAAAGAAGAAGGAATCGTGTTTTTTAACTTCAGCAGGCTTACTCGGTAAATTCTTCTCATGACCAAATGTCTTTAGGAATTCCCATAGTCTCTACGACTATGAAACCATGTGGTTTGCTATATCCAGTGTACAGAATTACGAGCCTTTGAAGCGGAGGGCTGGAAGCCCGATTTGGTCACACAAATGAGGAACAAGCTTTAACCCTCCAAAAATAAATAAATAAAAATATAAACCATAGCTTTTTCTAAACAAAAAGTCACCAAGAACGGGGGTGGGGTGTCAGCACACAGGGTACCTCTTGGATATCACAATCACTTCCGGATCATGAGGGGTTTTTTCATTGGGTTCCATCTCACCCTCTGGTTATGACCAGAAACAGACACTCTCCGGCTCTTGCCCTTGCAGACAACACACCATATTCAACAGATTTCCCACTAAGGCCAGAAGATCTATCTTACAGAGTTTTTGGAGGGGGGATTCGTGAACAACTGCTCCCCCTGTTCCTTTCCTTCCCATTCTCCCAACTGGGATTGGACTAAGGTGCTTTTAACTGGCTTCCTCACATGAAAAGGTCAAAGAGGCGCTTCCTTTGGGGCACCAGGCCTTCAACCTGCTTGTTCAGTAGGTCATTTTGTTCACAGGGTCGTCGGGAGGGGGGCAAAGGGAAGAAGAGCGCAAGGCTTTGCAACACCGAGGTTAACTTTTCAGATGTCCATGAGCATTTCTTCGTCTTCTTTTTTTTTTTTTTGCTTAAGCCTTTCTGGGGCTCCCGACACCTTTGCAAGAGGTTGCTTTGATGAGTTTCTGGTTTTGTAACGGCAGGAGGACGAGGCAGAGAGAAAATCTGTTGTTGAAAAGGTTAACAGCAACGGCAGCGAGGAAAAAGCTCCGGGAGGCTACTAGGGTCCCACTTTTCCCTTCCAATGAAGGTAGCCACGATCTACAGCCCGACTCGATCCAGACACCGGGGCCTGCAATTCTCAGTAGGCGTAAAATCCTGTGGTGTGCTCCACGGTTCCTCCAGGCTTAAGATTCTTACGCAAGGCTGCCCTTCCTCCTTGGAAAGGGCGGGGAACCCAGAGCACCCCAGCTCACTGTTCTCTGCCTCCCTCCTCACTGCCCCAATCCTGCCCCCCCCCCAAGACAACCATTGGACACAGCCCAAACTAGCACTGGGCTCAGACTTTCCCTTCCAAACGCAGTGCTCCTTTGAAACAGAACGACCAGACTGCAAAATGCAGTTCTGAAGTCTCAGAGTTTGTCGGGGCCCCAAACCCTACCCATCCCCAACCCTTGAAATACCAACAAGTAAACAAAAATTTTTAAAATTGGCTCACTATTCCCATGCCGGGTGAGAAAGGAAAAAGGGGAGGGGAGAGAGAGAGGAGCACCAAAAAAATAGAAATCTGACAAGAAAAATATTGTGACATTCGCCATCCTTGCAAGAGCTTTCTGTAATCCAGTTTCATCGGATTCCAACATCCTTATGGAACCCAACTGAGGGACGGGGTGGGGTGGGGGTCACGGCTCCCATTCTTCTGTGCACAGCTGTTGTTGAGCCCCGGATTCGCTCTGTCTCTCCGGAGGCCCAGAGACAGCCAGAAAGCAAAATGCCAGGACCGCTTTGCTGTGCAGCTTCCATTATGGCAGGACATCGGTGACCGAATTCCTAGTTCTGGGGAGCAAACACACACAAAGCAAGAGGAGTTTAGGCCACTGAATACAAAAACACCTTTTTTGGGGGGGGAGTTTTGCAAAATGAAGGAGACAGTAGCAAAGCCTGTGCATTTCTAGGAGGCGAAATGTGAAACCTGGCCCTGAAGGCAGAATCCTCCGCTTGAAAGCTCAGCAAGCCCTCTACCTCCTTGGTTTGCGTTATATCCATATTTTAAAACCAGACGTCCCACAAGATCATCATCAGTAGTGGAAGCAATTCACAATGGTGTAATAGCAAATAGTTTAATGATGAAGAAGAGTAGTTTTTTATACCCCGCTTTTCTATACCTTAAGGAGTCTCAAAGCGGCTTACAATCATCTTCCTCTCCCCGCAACAGGCACCTTGTGAGGCAGGTGAGGCTGAGAGAGTTCAGAGAGAACTGGAACTGGCCCGAGGTCACCCAGCAGGCCTCATGTGGGGGAGGAGTGGGGAATCAAACCTGATTCTCCAGATTAGAGTCCACCACTCTTAACCACTACACCACACTGGTTCTGTTAAAAACAGCAACTGCAGCCAGCTGCTGGGAAGCTGATCCCCAGAACTATTTTCTGACGCCCCGACACATGTCAGCCATAGAACACGATAAAAACGTAACATGACTCTCCGCCCCCCACAGAGATCATGCTCCTAGTTCACACAAAAGCAAGAACAAATAAATGCAACAAGACAGCTCCGAAAAGATAAGAAATAACAGAGACCATGACAGGAAGAAAAAACGGAACAGCAAATTGACAGTGATGCCCTCTGGAACTCCCTTTGTAACTGCAACGGGCAAACAATGCTAACCGCACTACATTTGATGAGTGTGGAACCACCCCTGACTTTAAACCGGATTTTTCCAAGAAAGGTGCCTGACCACAGTGTTGCCCTTTTCTTTTCAACCCCAGCTCAAGACAGACATACTTACAAGAACTGGTTAAGAACTGTTCTTAAGAGAACGGATTCAACTCAAAACACACTCAGGACATGTGGTGAAGACCCTGCGTTCCAGTTCATGCATTTACATGCACGTGGCCTGCACCACCATACCCTTGCGTAGATCTCTTCTAGAGATCGGGGGTGGGGTGGGGTAGGAATGAAAGAACCCACCCACAGAGCATGCAAGCACCTTTAAAACTAAAAAAGGATAAGCTTTCAGAAGGTTTCCCATATATCTTCTTAAAAAGGAAACAAACAGTGGGCACCAACAAATAGTGCAATCTGTTTTAAATTATTGTTCTTAACTGTTGTAATCTGATTATTAAGGTGTTTATATTGTACTGCCGAATGGCCTTATCCGCCCCGAGCCCACTTGCGGGGAGGGAGGAATATAAATCTGAAAAATAAAATTAAAAATGAAACAGATTTAGGTGGGTTATCAGACAACAGGGACAGCTGTCGTGTACATGGAACAATGGTGGTTACCATTGGTGCCAACGGCAAGGTGGTTGGGGGCCCCTCGCTACGTCGAAGACTCCAGTTCTTGCTTCTGTTTGGAAACGAGCTGCGCCTCCTTCAGCGAAAGGTACACCTCCTCTTGGGGGTCGTAGTAGTAGAACTTGCGGATGTACGAGATCAGAGGCCTGGGTGGACGGGAAAAGGCCAGGAGGATTTGTTAAGGCATGACCAGGCCCCAAATGGAAGTTATTTCCCAAAGACTAGTAGCCAGATGCTAGGTCAATCACGGTGCATCCACACAGCTTCTTTGCTCTACCTTGACTTCCAAACCGGAGCAGTGTTTTACAGAGAATCCACACAGTGGTGTCCTCCAGTTATCCACTTCCTGCTTTCTCTCCTGCTTTGGCTTGATCCTTCCAGAAATAACAGTCCAAGCAAGTGAGCATGCAGCCTGGGTGGCAAGACGGGCATTTTCCAACCCTCCATTCATGCTGGCACCATTTTGCTGGCACCGTTTTACTATCATCCCCTCACAGCTGCTATTTTCTTGCCGCGTCACCAGAAAGCCTTTTGCCGGCTTAAAAAAAACTGCCATAGCATAATGCTATAGCAATGCTACATATATTTGCTATAGCGCTATAGCATTATGCTGTGGCAATATAACGAGCATTGCCTTTAAGAAAAACTGGCAAAAAGCCCTCTGGAAGGTGCATAGGAAATGTTCTCATGGATGCTCCATTGCCACTGCACACGCAAAGACATTCACAGCAGCCATGAATCCACGACACAGAATTGCCATCATATTAAGAGGGCTTGTGTCTGGCAAGACATCTGGCATAAGGTGCAGGGACTCTCACAATGCTCTATGCACGAAGATCCATTGCGCCCCCTTTGACACCCTTGTGCTAGACCACTCTGTGTCAGACAAAAGATGACTGGTTCTATCCTTCTCGCAGTGGTATGCTCTAACACAAATTTGCTACTGATCAAGAAGTTTCTGAGGAACTGAGCAGTGACTCAGGAAAGCTCCAACCCTGCCACAAATTTTGTTAGTCTTTAAGGTGCTCCTGGACTTTGGCTCTTTTGTTCTGCTACAGATTGTCACTGCACCCCACAGAAGAAATATTCATCCCTTCGTATGGGAGAAACCAAAGAGGTGCACAAATTAAGGGGGGGGGGATGAACTTGCTACTGAAGACTCCAAATTCGGGAAGAAGAGAAAGGTTTAGTTCCCCCTCAGCTTGGATATGGCTGGCTTTGATAGAATGCTGGGAACTAGCAGGGAGTGGAGATGGGAGAAAGCAACAGCGCCACCTGCTGATAAACAATGAACAAAAATGGGGCCTACTTTGGGAGCGGGAGTTCTGGAATGTGGTCGATGCGGACCAGCTGCCTTATCCGGAAACGACAGAGGTGCTGTAGCGATTTAACATTGCTGAACCTAGAGACTGGATAGAGAAGCTGGACGGGAGTTGGAGGGAGACCTGTAAATTGAAAAAAGAAAGAAAGTGAACATGGAGGAAAGTGCGACAGCAGCTACTCAGAGATCTTCTCCTCAAGATCAAGGTAAGTGCTAGAAACAGATGAGAGCTGGTGTAGTGGTTAGAGGGTCAGACTAGGAACTGGGGGACCCATGTTTGAACCACTAGAACAAAAAAACCCCATTTTGAGACGCATCTGTTACAAGATACAGAGATGTTTCGGAAGTTACTGCTTCTCCATGTGGATGATTTGGAAGTTTAGAAACAAATAATTATATGGACAGTTACAACAAAATCACAAATTATATGTGCGTCAAAAAGGTATAGATTTGTATACAATACAGATATATGGACTGTAGATGACTAATTTATGGAAATAATATGCTAGTATATGGGGCTGGATAGAATCATACAGTTGGAAGGGAACTCCAGGGTCATCTAGTCCAACCCTCTGCACAAGGGAGGAGATTCACAACTACCTCTCCCCCAAACACCCCCAGTGATCCCTGTTCCATGCTCAGAAGATGACAAAAAAACCTCCAGGATCTCTGGCCCAACTGGCCTGGAGAAAAAATGCTTCCTGACCCCAAAGTGATGATCAGCATTTCCCTGGGTGCGTAAGAAAGGGCCATGAGAACTAAGCACTGATGCCCTCCTTCTCATGATCTAAGTTCATAGAATCAGCACTGCTCTCAGATGAGAACTAAGCCCTGACTCATCCCTTCCTGCCCTCCCTCTCATGATCTGCCTAAGTTCACAGAATCAGCATTGCTGTCCGATGGCCATCTGGGGGGGTTGCGTATTTTTTCATATGTGCGTGTGTGTGTGTGTGTGTGCATGCACCTGGAAGTCATGGCGACCTCTGGTGACTGATCCCTACTTGGGGGTCTGGAGGATATTCAAAGAGGTGAAAGCCCCTCGGGTACTTGAAGATGGTTATCAACTAGCTTTTCTACTGGCAAACAAAGGAAGGAGCCCCCCTCCTTTGACCTCCAAAAAAGACTAAGCTAGGGATCATGGGACCAGCACAGACAAAAGGCACGTGGGATAGGGGGCAGGTAGTATGGAAGGGAATTGGGTGAGACGGAACCAAAAATAAATCTGGCTGGGTTCAGTCCATGATGATTTTTTAAAAAACTCTTCTGAAGTTCAGTTAAACACTTTTCCATTTGCTTAATTGTTGACTGGAAACATTTATCTCCCACCTTGCTCCCAAGTTTCAAGATGCCTTAAAATATGCCTCATAAAAGAACAATCAAGTGCTAGAATGTGTGCACGCACCTGGAACCCGGGAGCGCAAGAAGTACAGAAACTTCCCGTTCTTGGAGTGCATGATAGCCCGTTTGATGAACTCCACCACGGACTGGCAGCGGTCTTCAAACTTGGGGTGGCACCAAAGACTGAAGGTTCCTGTCCACAACAAACCAAGCAGAGGGGGTGGGGGTGGGGGGAGAAAGAATCTTGCTTGAACACGATGTCCACGTAGAAAAGGCCTACAAAATCGTGACAGTCAGCACGGGACCCTTCTTGGGAGTCCCGCCTCCAGCATGGACTCACTGGAGTGGCCCCTGGGCAACTCACTTTCTCAGCTACCCAGGAGGATGTCCGTGCCCTTCCTCCAGTTCCTCAGGCTCACCTCTGTAGTGTTCCATTCTGGTGTGATGGGTAATACCCTGCGATCGAAAGCTGAGGCTCAGAATGTACCGAGGATCAGAGCTGTCACGGACCAGGAAGGATCCATCAGGTTTCCCTTTGAGCTTCATTTCGGCATCCTCCCAGTTCATAGGTCCCCAGTACCAACCACACTGTTTAAAAAAAAAAAATATGGGAGAAATTTTATTCAAAAGAGAAGCAAAAGCCAGCTAGCCTTTGCATAAAGTGCACAGTTAGCCAGTGGAACTCACTGCCACAGGATACCTTCAATGGCTAGAACAAGCAGCAGTACCATTTTTAGGAACATAGTTTTTGCCACCAATTCACCAATCTAGAGGGAAAGTCTACATTCTGCCAAGCTCACCTAACTATGGAGACATAACACAGGAAGCCAGGTTGATATTTTTAAAGCAAATTCCATACTCACAGGCAGTGTTCCCTCTAAGATGAGTTAGTGTGAGCTAACTCACAGTTTTTTAGCCTCTGGCTCACACATTTTTGTCTTAGCTCAGGAAGGATGGCTCCAGAGCAAACTAATTTATGCAGCAGCCAAATCGTTCGCTCACAACTTTAATGCCAGTAGCTTACAAAGTAGACTTTTTGCTCACAAGACTCCACAGCTTAGAGGGAGCATTGCTCACAGGGAATTATGATGTAGATAACAAGCCTCCCTTGGTTTGGAGCGATAGGCAAGAAGTCTCTTGTGCTGTTTTACTAAGCCTTCCATAGCTAGGCCAGTTCAGTAGCAGGTGGCAAAGCCGCTGCTGGAACCCTTATACGCGCACGCGCCTTTTTGTTTAAAACTTCTAAATAAGGTGCGCTTATTTTCAGAGAAACTTTATCTGGCTAACCAAGTTTCATGACAACTTATTTAGCATCCTTTTCACCAGCCCCCTTTTTACTTGCAAACGAACATCATGGTTTATAACATTCTGCAAAAGAAGGAATCCAGGACAGCAATTTTTTAAAAAAGCAACAGGGGCAGACATCGGCTCCACTAGCCACGACAGGCACTGGGCAAGCCCCCTGTCCTCTATTCTCACTACACACATACACCCCCCTTCTCCCCACCTGAGGATTACAGCAGAAGCCCCTCCACTGAACTTTTTTTTTTTTTTTAAAGAGGCCCTTACTTTTTCTAGCTCTCGTAAGCTAGCTGCAAAACTGCTCGAGTCAGGACGGTAGAGCGGGCACTGAAGGTGCTGTGCGGGCTGGCTGTGCACTGCTTCGGACGCTCGGATCGGGATGATCCGGGGAAACGCATCTGCAAGGAGGAGAAGGAAGGAGGTAAGAGACACACAGTCCTGCAGGGAGTGACCATGAAAAAAGAAACGACAAGTGCTTGGAGCTAACTTTTTTTGTTGCAAGATAAACTATAAGGTAGTTACTGATGAAGAGATCCTGCAGTGAAATCCGGAAACTCAGGATTCCAAATGTTCTTCAGATATTCCAGGAAGACGGGGACGGCAAAGGATGAGATGGTTAGACAGTGTCACCGATGCAACGAACATGAAATTGAGCAAACGTCAGAGGACGGCGGAAGACAGGAAGGCCTGGCGTGATCTGGTCCATGGGGTCGCGAAGATTTGGACTCAACTGTGCGACTGAACAACAACAACAAAATGTCCCAGAACGGATGTAATACTGAGAGCAGCTGAGGCTTAATTACACTCACAGCAATTAACACAAGTGCAAGGTATTAAAACCAACTGGCTGGGGGGGGGGGGGAGGGGAATTAAAAGTCCACAGGGATCACTAGTCAGGAAATGACAGGTTTCAACAGATAGATCTGTTATAATTGTAAGATTGATATACTTATTGTCTTATTGTTGATAATGGTAGCTCTATAAATATGTCAAACCAGCAGCATCTGAGAAAGTAGTGTATCACAAATGTACTGTTCTTGTTTATCTCTTCTTTGTTTAATAAAAAAAAGGAAATGACAGGTTTTAACTGCTGCTGGCAAAGTTCAAAAGGTCTTTTGGTGGATTTCTCTGGGTAGGACATTCCATAAGCTGGATTTCACCCCAGGAACATCTCTCCCTGTAGCTGTACAGATCATAGCTCAATAACTCAGGGAACAGAGAAGATGAACACGGCATGGGGTAAAGCCACAACACCAACTCTCAAAGGATAGGGAGAGAGTGGTGCTAAGTTTTATTAGGGAGAAGAAACAGAGCCACAGAGGTAGAGAAGCAGAAACTGAGATAGGGAAGGGGGAAACAGAACCTAAACGTAAATTCTTAGACAGTCCTAGAAGGAGAAAAGCCAAAGTGAATCAGAGGAGACAGATAGTTCAGTTTGCCCAGTGGCTGGAGGAGCAATGTATGTACTGATCTCTCTCTTCCACTGAACTTTTATTTCTGTGCATGAGCAGAGTTTGGTTAAACTGTGGGTTTCAAAGAAAAAAACAATGGATGAAAAATAAGTATTCTGGAGGGCAGAAAAACCACTGGATAGTTAAAATAAGTCTGATAGATCCTCTACCAGACCAAAGAGCAACACTGCAAATCAGCCACATCTGGAAGAGGGTTTTTAGGCCAAGGTTATCAGGAAGCATCATGAGGCCAGGAGCTTCATAGGTTAGACGCCACCAACCCTGGACAGATTTGGGCTGCACGCACATATCTTTTTTCCTTCCACAGACCCCGGAACATCGGCACATCAGTTTGTGGCTGCAGAGACAAAGCTGAGGGGGTGGGAAAGTTGCCCTGCCCTTTGAGGTGGTTATGACCTACAGCTCAGCATTTGCAGACTGTCTGAACTGCTCTCCACCCCCAAATGAGTCCAACTCATGGCAATCAAAAGCAACCTTTCCCACAACAGCAACTTCGGTTTAAAAACAAACTAGTTTGCCCATGTCTGGATCATATGCCTCAACCCCATCTGTTGCAATTTCCTGTCCAATCCAACCCAATTACCCATTGTCAAGAACAGAAGCACACAATCGGGTCAAACAAACCAGGCAGGTGGCTCTTTAAATATCGTGCATATAACTGCTGCCCAATAATTGGCCACCTGGACGGTAACTTGGTTTTCTACATCTCTTAAATAGCCAAGACATTTTCTCATCCAGGGAATCAAAGCCAGCTCCAAGTAATGGGAGAATTAAATTTGATCTTAAATCTGAAAATATAGGACAGTCTAATACTATACAGTCAATACAGTCTATTTGATCTGAACCTCGGGTGCATAATTTATCTGAAAATAGCACACCTTAGTAGCTTCTTATTAATCAGTTTCAATTTAAAATGGCCTTCCCTAAAAACCTACACACACGCACAGAGTTTTTCGTTCCCACATCAATAGTTGCAGTTCCATAAGCACATCTCATACAGTCAAGAGGAAATCACCAACTTCTATCAGAGAACGACAGGTGTAAACCATGAGGGACCCTTGCAAGGGTTTGGGGGAGAGTGCAATAGATTTCTGCATATGTCCCACTGGGATTTCCAAAAGATATGTGCCCTCCTGGGGAAAAAAAACACTGTACGAGAACCCAAGCGTGACCACAAAATGCAGAAGGAAGTGGTGTGTACGCAAACCACTGGAATTTTTCTCTTTTTAAAATCAGTCCATGTTCGTGCGTATCACCTTGAGCTCCAAAAACCCAAGACTTAAATAAAAGGCCAGCTATGGGGCAAATTCACAGCAGAAACTTGGGAAGCCCTGAGGATCGAAGCTCAACTGACCAGGGGCGTGTGGCGGAGGTGGCGGCGGAAGAGGGAAAGACTGGAGAGATGACGACCCCATCGGACCCACCAAGACAGAAGTAGGCAGTGTCCCACTGATATCGTCTAGAAAAAAACAAAAAAGGAGAGGTTCAGAAAGAGGGAAAGTTGCCAGAGCGAGAAGCAAGCTGGCATTGGGTTCTCTCTGCCTTTGGACTCCTAAAGCTGCCTTCAGAATCAGAACGCTGGTTTCTCTAGTTCAGTCCTCTTCATCCTATCGAGACCCAACTGCTATCCCAGGTGATAGCTTGGGACCCACTGAGCTTTGACCTAGGAGCAGGAAGCCATTGGACTCTGTCATGTGACAGGGAGGGGGTGGGGCCTCCAAACCTGCTTGGGTTACAGGAAACATTCCCACTGCTGAATGACCTTGCCTAGTTGTTTCACTCCTCCTCTCCGCATTTGTGCTAAGAAGCAAGGAAATGTTACATCCTCGCTTTCTGTGCATGGGCAGAAGCACCAGATCCTTCCAAAAAGCACCCCCACAAAAAAAAGCAGTTCTATAGGACCTCATGGCTCAACAAGGGGATGTACAGCCCACCTGAGGTCCCTGACAATATGCACTGAAGGCACGGTTGCCAGTCTCAAAGTGGTCTCCTGGCAACAGATATCAGTCCCCCTGCGAAAACTGCTGCTTTGGAGGGCAGACTATGTCAATATACCCTGCTGGAAACTCTGCCCTCCACAGGCACCCTCTCCCAGTCTCCAGGTATTTCCTAACCTGGAGCGGGCAGCCCTAGCTGAGGGCCACTGATATAGTTCAGCGTGGTCTACCCTACACCTACCCCCTAAGATCTTTTTTCCTTCTCCAGCACCTGGCATCTCTAGTTAAGGGGAGAGAAAAGGGACCATGCCACCAACAGATGCCAGGAAAGCTCAAGAGTGTACAGGAAGCGCTTGCATTCCCAGCGCAGAAATGAAATGTAAGTGTGTTTCATGCTGTCCGACCCTTTTGTCAGAGCAACGGCTCATGCTCAGGGCAACTGTATGTCAAATGTATGAATGAATTTGCATCAGTGGTACACAAGATCAGGCCCGTAGCTAGGATTCTGTGGCTTGTGGGGCAAAGATTTTTCTGGCAGGGCTGCCTTTATTTGCCATAACGAAGGAGGGGTGCCACTCTTCCCTCTCCCTCCGTTCCTGCAAAATTTAAAGGGCTCTTCAGCTGATCAGCAGGGAGGGCCCTTTAAATCTTGCGGGAGGGAGGGAGAGGGGCATGCACCACCCCTCCGCTTCTTCTCAAAAGTATTTAAAGGATCCGTTTAAATGCTTTTGGGAAGAAGCCGGGGGCGGGCCTTTAAGGAAGGGGGCAGAGCCCCCAATAGCCCCACCATTGCTACGGGCCAGCATAGGATGCACAAAAGGCAGCTGCACCTAGCAGAATACTGTAACAACAGATGGGATCCCAACACTGTATTTTGCTCCACCTTGCCCAAGTCTCCTCAATACGGCTCCTCTTCCACATAGCTTCTGTCAATGCACACACACCCCCATGATCCCCAACAAAGCTTTTCTGGGTGGTCAGACCTTCCTTCATTTTTCACAAGTGGACTTCCACCCAAGAGAAGCTAAATGAACCAACTGTCTGCCAAGGGCAGCTCCATGCTTTTCTGTACATCAGGGGTCCCCAACCTTTTTGAACTTGCAGACACCTTTGGACTTCTGACACAGCACGATGGGCACAGCCACAAAATGGCTGCCGCAGCTTACTTCCGGCCACACAGTGAAGATCCTTATGCTGTGGTGGCAGCTGCTGCCCAAAGGAACCTTTTCAAAAATCCGCAAAGCCAATCACATCTCCAATAGCCAATCGGAAGCCTTGCTGGGCAAAAGCCCCACCTAGCCCTGCCCACTTTCTGAAAAGTACTTGGTGAGTTCCAAGAAAGGTGCTGGTTGACACCTGGGCGCCCATGGGCACCATGTTGGGGACCCCTGATATACAAGCTTGTTCCCAAGTCTGTACAGATCATCAAGTCAGGACACAAGCTGTCATTTTTTGGGGGGAGGGGGCGGTTAAAAGGAAACTGCCCAGGTCTTGTGGCTGGCCTGCCACCACAACGGTAAGTCAGAAAACCAAAGCAAGATGGCCAGTGGTGAAAAGAAAGAGGCTTCAGAGTCCTGTACAATGCCTTACTCATGAGTAACAGAAGTGGAACGTCAACACAAAGATGCCATTTACAGCTTGTGCAAGACTGTAGAACTTAACTTCTTGGATCAGACTTTGAGTTGTGAAGGAGAGACTTGGGGGGGGGGGGGAAGGAAAGGGGAAGGGGTTTAAAAGTTAAACCCCCTTCTCACTAGAGTTGGGCCAGGGGGGGGAGAAGGAAAGGGGAAGGAGGGGGCAGAGTCCTTAGCACAAAAGACACACAAGGTTTCTGCTTCCCAGGAGGTTGTTGGGACAAAACCATACAAGGGCTACTGAACAAAAAAGGCACTCTCTGAAAGAAAGGGATCACCACAAAGCAGCAGACCAAAAGAACAGCGGACCAAAAAAAGAGGCTGACAAATTTTCCCCTGGGAAACAACTCCAGAAAAAAAGATATTGGAAGACAAAGCGAGCAGGCAGTACCCAAAAGGCTGAGGCTTCGCCGTGGAGGTGGCGGTGGCGTGGGCGGGTGCGGGGACGTCAGACCACGCTGAGAGATGTCCACATCCACCAGTGACACTGTCTCACCTGGAAAAGTGCAGAGGGACAAAGACCTCAGAACAGACATCGCTCTAGAGTACTGCAAGGAGCTCATTATGCCAGAACTTCATCTCTCCCCCCACCCCCAGTTACAGAGGAAGCTCAGTCCGAGGAACCCTAAACCTGGATGGCTCAGGCTAGCCCAATCTCATCAGATCTTGGTAGCTAAGCAGGGTCGGCCCTGGTTAGTATTTGGGTGTGAGATGGCCAAGGAATACCAGGGCTGCTATGCAGATGCAAGCAATGGCAAACCACCTCTGAACGCCTCTTTCCTGAAAACCCCACCAGGGGGTGCCAGAAGTCAGGTGCAACTTGACAGCACTGTCCACACCACCAGACCAGTCCTAGGATTAGGGCTGCCATTCCCCCAACGGGGGCGGGGGGTTGCCCACTTTCGGGGGGCCCAATCCGCCACCCCCGATCCGGCCGGTGGGGGGAACCGCACCCCCCAAAGTGCCCTGTCCGTGTCAACATGCCCGGCACAATGAAGTCACCTGGAAGTGACGTCATTCACGGGGGTTGTGTGTGTGTGCTCTATTGTTTGAGGAAAAACTCTTAAGACCTGGCAACCCTGCCCAGGATCATGTAATGTCTTTTTCTATTCAGTGGGCCATTTCCCCTGCCACAGAATGACTACTCATCGCAGAATCATAGAATGTTAGAGTTGGAAGAGACCTTGCGGGTCATCTAGTCCAACCCCCTGCACTCTGCAGGAGCATAACCGAAAGACAGCCCTACAATAAATACAGACAAGTCTGAGTGTACCATCTCATATCTGGTGTCATGGGCAGTGGCTAGAAAGTTTCCCTAATGGCTGCCACCACTCTGGTATGGGTCTCCTCGGGAGGGCCCGGAGCACCCACCCTACCCCTTTATACACTCCTTTCCCAGTATGTTTCCCTTTATACGTGACCAAATGAGGAGTGGGGACCCGGGAAGAGCAACGAACTATTTTTATTAAAGAGATTTATTAACAACTGTAGTTCAAAAACATGTAGGAAAAATGAGCACAGTAAAGTTAGGTAAACCAGCAAAATAAGAAATCCTGACGCGTCCGACTATGCAGTCCTAGCCTTCTCTAGGTTCCTGGTCTCAGACTGACTCGCCCCTTTTGGATGAGGGATCCCTCTTTCTGCAGCAGCTTCACACCAGCTCTGCTCCCTGAGAGAGAACTCCCTCCCACTTTGGGCAAGGCCTTTTATTCCCTCTTCCCAGGCACCACCCTCTACTCTTCTACTGGTATAAATTTCCTCTCCAAATCTCCTGTTAGCCAGTCACAGGGTCCAGAGGGAACCTGGGAAAGGTAGGCCCTGTAGTCACTCTAATACAGGCTTCCCTGGAGCCACTAGGCCTCTCTAGAGCCTGAAGGCCGCACCATTAGAGGCCCAGGATCATGACACCTGGTAATCTACTCGCTGTATTTATTTACAGTACAATGTTGCCTTAGTTTGTCGTTCACTTTGTTCTCTCATTCTGTCTCATTACACTGTTCATCGGTCAACTTATGACGATTGCACCATTTTTTGCTATCAAACCGCAGCAGATTTATGGAAACCCCATAGGCTTTCCAAGGCGAGAGATGTTGAGAGTTGGTTTGCCATTGCCTGCCTCTGCGTAGCAACCCTGGACTTCCTTGGTGGTCTCCCGTCCAAATACTGACCTGCTTAGCTTCTGTGTTTTGACCAGATCGGGCTAGCCTGGCCTATGCAGGTCAAGAATATGCCCAGACACACTGGGAAAGTGTTGTCTAGAATCAGAACTGCACTGAAATGTCCCAAACTGGTCACAGGTCAACTGAGAAGCAAGAGTCCTTATTCCCGTCTGAACAGGGGCACACTCCCAGGTCATTAGGTAACTTAGATTAAGAACATAAGAAGAACCCTGCTGGATCAGACCATTTGTCCATCTAGTCCAGCATCCTGTCTCACACAGTGGCCAAGCAGTTCCTCTGGAGGGCCAACAACAGGGCACAGATGCCGAGGTCTTCCCCTGATGTTGCCCCCTGGCTCTGGGATTCAGAGGTTCACCACCTCTGAATGTGGAGGTTCCCCTCAATCACCATGGCTAATAGCCATTGATAGACTTATCCTCCAGGAATCTATCAAATCCCCTTTTAAAGCTGTTTATTCCTATGGCCATCATTACATCCTCTGGCAATGAATGCGTATGTGTAAAGAAGTATTTCCTTTTGTCTGTCCTGAAACCTACTGCCCATCAGTTTCACTGGGTGACCGCAAGTTCTAGTATTTTGGGAGAGGGAGAAAAAAAATTCTTTGTCCACTCTCTCCATAGTTCTACCGTTTAGGATTATTAACACCAAGCTCAAAGGGAGGAGCCCTTCATCATGCCTGGACTCCCTACACAAAGAAGTCCCTTTCTCTCTAGCTTTTAATTTTTTAAAAAATGGAATCCTCTTTCGGATTTTAAAATGCCGCCACGATGCAACAGTGGGGCTCTTACATATTAACAGGGAGGAATGGTTGCTTTGGTTGAGAGGAGTAACAGGGCTGGCACATTGCCAGTTTCCAATTGCTAGCTATATCAGTTCTCTGAGAGGGTCAGCATTCATCTATCCCACACCCTCCTGCAGCTGACTTTACAATTATACAAAACAGCAAGTGCCAATGCTTCCGATGAAATACAATGTACAAAAACCTATACAGGGGTCTCCTAATAGGAATCCACACTATACTAAAATATACATGCATCCACAGCCCATTAAGCTGGTTGAAAGGATGAAGGAGTGAAAAAAATTAGGAAGAATCTTCCTCCCCACCATCATCAGAATACAAAGAGTTTTATTTAACCAAGAAGTTAGGTTTATTATAACACATGCAAAGAACACAGAATTGCTGTCAAGGAAATAAGGGGATTGAAATGTGGGCTCTAGCTTCCAATACTTGCCCCAGACAATATCATAGGCAGAGAGATTATATCCCACAGAACAAGAGAAGATTGATAGCAAAAGGCAGTAAAAAAATAAAACCAGAAATCTATCGCTCTCTTATCATGGAATGTAGCTGCAGCTATCTCCACCCTCCACCCCCAACACACACACCCTCCACAACCACCATGGGGTTTGGCCGCATATTCATCGGAAACTTGGCTGTGAAATTAACTGGAGGGCATATAGTCTGATTTAGATTTCCTGCGTATTGGCAAAACACAGCCAATACACAGTCATGTCAAGGGTGAAACAGAGGGCGGCAGCCTGCAAACTTTAGTTCCTTTGAAACAGAAGCTGGCTCCAATAACACTGTAACCCTGAGCAGTTACTCCCAAGTTGACTGGCTTAAAAGGCTACAATCCTGCTCAGGAAAGCATGGTTAGAAAGGTTTACCTGCGGCTCCTATAACACAACCTGTTGTATTCCTAACAACCCATAACACCCTGCTCTGGCATCTCCACCATCTTACACACAAGCAGGGCTTTAACTGCTCTGAGGACACCACCCCAGAATTTGCTTTCAATATAAAAGGCTAGGTTCTGGGATATGAATAAGTGGAGAGTGCCTCTGAAAATGTGCAGAGGGCCTTTCCCTCTGCACCGAACTAGCTGCAGCCTGTCTCTCGTCCCTTTGATTAAGTAGCAAACCTTGACTCCACAAATATGATTGCTAGGCTGCTGCTAGCATCCAAAAATGCAGAATTACTTCCCTGTACACAGAAAATAGATTTTTTAAAAAAATTGGTGGGTGACCAGAAGGGATGCTCTTTGCATTGCTTCAGACAGGACACATTAACCCCCAGGCATATGGAGGAGACTTTGGGGGAGGGAATAACTTCAGCCTCTTGCTTAGATACGTAAAAATTTTGAAGCCATGAGATGGAGGGGGAACGGAAGTTTGCCGTTTCCCCCCCCCCAATGTTATTTTCTTATTAAACCTAGATTTTTACTGCTTTAAGAACATAAAATGCATCAACCATAGCCTAGGCTAGACGATTGTACCATTTGCAGTACATAAACATCTCCATTCCACGTAGTTCTTAGATCACATTCTGTGTGAATAAAACTGGTCTTCAAAAGTATTTCACTCATTTCAAAAAACTACTTTCCTAGGCACACCCAATTCCCCCCCCCAAAAAAATCTAAAACTTTCGGGGGGGGGGGGGCTACATACAAGACTTTTTCCAGGTTTTGACTCCCAGTCCTTCACATCTCTACTGTTGCTTTGTGTCCTACATGCCAAGTCCCATAGGTAAAAGACATCCATGTCAGGATGGAGCAGGACCCCATTCCTCCAGCTTGTGCAGAAGGTCCCAAGTAGGTAAAAGATGGATATAGGAGTAACCTTGAGCAATAGCTGGCTACCACTCACAGCCAAAAGGCAGGTGGGCATAACTTCCAGAAAGGGTTTAAAAAAAAAAAAAGATAAAAATTAAACACCAAACCCAAGAGCAACATGAGGCTGCACCTCAGCAGTAAGTCCAAAGATCAGTCTTCGGCATTTCCCATTAAAGGCTTTCAGCTCCCCACTTTACAAGTCTGGAGAACAGCTATTTGACTCTACCAAATTGGTCCTACTCACTAGAAGGACAGCTTTATAAGCTCATCATGCACACAAAGTCCGCCAAGCACTGAAGCCCCTCGGCTAAGGAAATGCACAAACCTACAGGTTATTAATCCATGTAATCAGTGAACCTTGCAATATTTGTTTTAATTAACCCACATTCATCCCCCCCAAATGATTAAGCCAGTAGAGACCCCCCGTGGAGCCAACATCCCTAGGCTAACATTGTATTCAGTATTCAGATGGTATCCATGTTGGTCTGAAGCAACAGAACAAAGTTTGAGTCTAGTGGCACCTTTAAGACCAACACACATGAAAGCTTATACCCAAAATTAAACTTTGTTAGTCTTAAAGGTGCCACTGGACCCAAACTTTGTTCTATTGTACTTAGCACTGAATGCCCTCTTATTCCCACCCACCCCCAGACTAAAGCCAGTTTGGTGTAGTGGTTAAGCGCGCTGACTCTAATCTGGGAGAACCGGGTTTGATTCCCCACTCCTCCACTTGCACCTGCTGGATGACCTTGGGCAAGCCATAGTTCTGGCACAGCTGTTCTTGAAAAAGAGCAGTTTCTGCCAGAGCTCTCTCAGCCCCGCCTACCTCACAGTGTGTCTGTTGTGGGAAGGGGAAGGGAAAGGAGTTTGTAAGCCGCTCTGAGACTCCTTTGGGTAGTGAAGGGCGGGATAGAAATCCAATTTCTTCTCTTCTTCTTCTTCTAAATATGGGAAGGATGAAAAGTTTATATCTTCATGCTGCATACATACTCCTCCGTATGCGAGAGAAGCAATTCCATGCATACTCTCACATATATTTTCAAATAATGCATTGCAACCCAGACAGTACAATTCTAAGCACCGTATCTCTGCTGAGGACTTGAGAAAGATATAATGCTGCTTGGGTCTGTGCTGAGAAAGTACCAAAATATTCCTGAGCGCCAAGTGAAAAAAACAAAAGAAACGATGCTCCAAAGCAGTCCAAAGTTAGTTATGGATGTTTCTAGCTTATCAGTGATCTGGGCTTTTAAGGACACCCAAGAACAACCACTGGTATTCTACAAAGGTCCTGACATACCAATAGTTTTACTTCTATTTATTCTTATTATCAACAATTATTAACTCCATTTATAGCCAGCCTCTCTCACAGTGGATAAGTTTTGCTCACTTTCAGGACCAAGCAGGTACATGTACGGGAAAGAGATTTCCCTTACACCCAGCACTGCAGATAAAAAGTCTCCAAAAGTTACCAGTCTAAATAATATTTTCCCCCTTAAAAGCCTTCTTACCCACAAACACACTAATACAAGTTATTTGAAGCACAACAAACAGCTTGAAATAAAGTAAAGTAAATAAAGTAATAATTGAACAGCATCACACACATAAGCATTCGTAAAACCATAAGAGCTGTGGGGTGGGTGGGGAGACAAGAGTTTGACACTTACCTGTGAAGAGGGGTCCAAAAACAACGGGAGAAAAGGCACTTTGCGTTCGCATCAATCTCGGTTTTCTGCAACAACAACAACAAGACAGAGAGGGGAACCTGTGAGTAAGAAAATGCAAGGAGCGGAATTCCTCACCTCTGGAAGACCACGTCCAATACACCTCAAACATGCCCAGATTCCTCATCAGCCTCAGGCTGGATTTCAGTGGGGCAACAGCAACAGGTGAAAAGTTACCTGCATGGATGAGTGCATGTTCACAACTGAAACCTCACTGCCTGCAATCATAAGTGGTGTGGTCCATTCCAGCCCCCCCTCATTCCCATCTCAAAGTCAAAGTCAAATACCCTTAATGGCATAGCAGTAAGATACATACATGTACAATAACACGGCATGGATATATAAGACATTATAAGCAATATGAATCAATCCTTTACTAGAATAGATCTATCTTTGACTACTTCGGCAAGAAACTTGGCCACTACAGCTGTAATATTCAGATTAAAATCCTTTAGTAGGTTTTGGATAACATTTTCCCTATTGGAACTATAATTAGGAGGAAATAAAGATAACAACAATTCTTTGCGTAAGAATGAGTAAAATTGACAGTCAAAAATAATATGATATATATAACCTTTCATGAAAGGGAATTTTCTTAAACTGACCTGAAAGCTCTTTTGAAGGGAACACATCCCCATCTCATTCTCTTCCATGAGTAGGCTTGCCAACCTCCAGGTGGTGGCTGGAGAACTCCCACTATTACAACTGACCTCCAGGCAACAGAGATCAGTTCATCTGAAGAAAATGGCCACTTTGGAAGGTGCATTCTGTGGCATTATACCCCACTGAAGTCCCTCCCGCCCCTAAACCCCACCCTCCTCAGCCTCCACCCCCAAAATCTCCAGGTATTTCCTTGCATTTAGAAACAAAATTCTCTCCCTGCAAAACAGAAAGGGCAGGGGGGGGGGAAGCACAGAAAGAAGCAGCCTCAGCACAGAAAAGCACACCTTGTTGCAGCTTTGTAGTGGGACGCATTCGAAACCATGACACACGCCCCCACCGCCACTGTACTCTGAGGCAGTGTTCCCTCTAAGCTGAGTTAGTGTTGAGCTACCTCTCAGTTTTTTAGCCTCCAGCTCACACATTTTTTGCCTTAGCTCAGGAAGGAGGGCTCCAGAGCAAACCAATTTACGCAGCAGCCAAATCGCTCGCTCACAACTTTTAATGCCAGCAGCTCACAAAGTAGAATTTTTCCTCACAAGACTCCACAGCTTAGAGGGAACATTGCTCTGAGGTGGTGCAGGAGTCCAACACCAGGCCTCAGGCTATCTATTCTGCCATCAGTTCTAGCTTTAGATTGCCCCCTTGACTGTCAAATGAACACAGACTGGGGGGGGGGGAAGAGATATTCCGTTTTGCCTTAACGCGCAGGCTGCCTCAAATACTGGCAGCTGGCATAGATGTATGTTAAATACATCCACAACTACTAATTCCGCTCCGGCACACTCTTGACAGAGGGTAATTATTGCACTCTTGAAAAATAAGCTTTTTTCAGCAACAAGTGACGCGTGCCTTCATCTTTAATCCAAGAAAGTTTACCTCAGCTGTCAGAAACGCGTACGTTCATCAAATTCCCAATGTTCAGGCTAGAAAGCTAAAAGCCTAGCAAGCTGTCAGTTCTCATGGCGGCAATCAAGTTACATACTAGAAGAATCAACGGTCTCCAAGAGGATCCTGGGATACATGGTCATTCCCACCCCGCAAGGCCCCCCCCCATTTTATCCTAACAGCCATCCTTGTGAGGGAGGCGAATGCATGAGAATGAGCTGGTACATCTGACTGTAGCATTCAGTACTGCAAGTATAGTTGAGCAGCAATAATGGTTTTTACCCTCTCTGTCTGTTTGTTTTCTATTTGCAAGACGTTCTGGTCGACAAGCAGCCGTTCGGAAAATGACTGAGCCAAGCCAGTGACAGCGTGTGCAATTAAATGAATATATGTTGTCTTCCCTGTCCCCTATGAACATTGTTAGTCCCCTGTCTAAAAAAATGTGTAACTGTAAATCGCTTTGAGCCCACTGGGGAAAGCAATTAATAAATTGAAAGTAATATTATTATTATTCTGAGCAATGGGGAATTATCCTAGCTCAACATTCTAACCACAACACCAGGTTGGCTCTCCATCCATGCTACCTCGACAGCTCTCGTATCCCCCTATATGTATGACTCATGCCTGAAACATTAATCCTAGCTCTGACTAAGGTGGTGAATGTGCACTTGGACTGTACCACTTCAGGTGAGAGCTCATGTGACTGAATGCTCCTCCATTATCACCGAGAGGCAGCATAGTATATCAACTGAAGTTCAATTGAATATCATTTGAAGTTCAGTGTTGGTAAGTGTAATGTGATGCACATTGGGATAAAAAAAATCCCGGCTTCAAGTACAGGCTAATGAGGTTTGAACTTGCTGAGACTGAGAGGGGAAAAGATCTCAGGGTCATAGTGGATAGCTCGATGAAAGTGTCAGCCCAGTGCACTGCAACAGTGAAAAAGGCAAAGTCTAGGTTAGGGATTATTAGGAAAGGGACTGAAAATAAGACGGCCGTTACTATAACAAACTGTTGTGTGAAAATTTTATAAAAATTTCTATGAGGTTATTTATGTTATACCATATAATAGATAAGATAAAAATGATCATATAGTATGAAAAAATGGTAGAATATATCGAGTAAGCCATTATACTGAACTTTTAAGTTATTATGTCACATATATTTTTAAGTTATATTCTTACACCATTACGCCATATATATCGTGTTAGATATTTGTTAAGCTATTATGCCATATACTTTTATATACACTTGTATTCTGATCAAGGAATGTCCTCAATATCTGTAAAATTGCCCTTACATGGTGTTTTTGGTAATTATACTTCCCATGAGTTTTTCCCTATTCCCTTTTCTCTTTCTGTATCCCCTTAAAATCTAAAATAAAAAAATACAGACAGACAGACAGACAGAAAGAAAATTAAGCAGCCAATATTGTAATGCCCCTGTATAGATCTATGGTGCGGCCTCAAGTGGAATACTGTGTACAGTTCTGGTTACCACATCTCAGAAAGACATCACAGAGCTAGAAAAAGTACAGAGGACAGAGACCAAGACGATTAGGGGGTTGTAGTGCTTTCCCTGTGAGGAAAGGCTGAAGAGTCTGGGACTTTTCAGTTTAGACTGAGGGGGGACGTGATAAAGGTTTATAAAATTATGCATGGGGTGGAGAGAGCGGACAAAGAAAACACTTTCCTCCCTCTCCCAAAATACTATAATTTGAGGGCATCCAATGAAGCTGATGGGTAGTAGATTCAGGACAGACAAAAGGAAATGCTTCTTTACACAGAGCAGGCCCGTAGCTCCAAATTTGCTGCCAGAGGATGTAGTGAGGGCCACAGGGATAAACAGCTTTAAAAGGGGATTAGATAGATTCCTTGAAAAGTACTGGGTTCGACGCATGGAGAACTCAGACCACGACATGCGTTCAGACGCGTTTATTGTATTTCACAACAAGACACACAAAACGGCCAAGCAAGGCCAACTATATACACTCCACCCGTCACACCTCTGTCCCCATTGGAGGGTTTGAATATCCCACCAAGGGTGCTATTGGTGGACTCCCGGTGGACTAGGATCCTGGGTCCCTATTGTGTTTGGGACCAAGCTCCTGCTTAAGCCGCAGACCCCTGGTGGCAGTCCGCGTACATAACAATCCTGGAGGGTAAGGCTATCAGTGGCTACTAGCCATGGTGACTGAGGAGAACCTCCACCTTCAGAGGCAGTTAACTGCTGAAACCCAGTGCCAAGAGGCAACATCAGGGAAGGCCTCAGCCTCTAAGCCCTGTTGTTGGCCCAGAGGAACTGGTTGGCCACAGTGTGAGACAGGAGGCTGGACGAGATGGACTACTGGTCTGATCCAGCAGGGCTCTTCTTGTGTTCCTAATTAGTGTTAGACTAGGATCTAGGAAGTAAAGGTTTCCCTTGCTCGAAAGCCAGTTGAATCCGACTCAAGGGTGCAGTGCTCATCTCCGTTTCCAAGGCAAAGAGCCAGCGCTGTCCAAAGACATTTCTGTGGTTATGTGGCCGGCATGACTAGACACATGGAACACTGTTACCTTCCCACCGAAGTGGAACCTATTTATCTACTTGCAATTTCTTGCTTTCGAATTGCTAGGTTGGCAGGAGCTGGGGCCAGAGACAGGAGCGCTCGGGTCTTGAACTGCTGAACTACCGACCTTCCGGTCTGCAGTTCAGCATCTTAACCACTGAGCCACCATAGTCCTAGGATCTGGGAAACCCTGGTACAAATAACCCACTCTGCCATGGCAGCTTCCTGTGGGACCTTGAGCCAGTCACTCTCGCTCTCTGACTAACCTACCTCACAGGGTTACTATGAGGATAAAATGGAGGAGAGAAGAACGATGGAAGTTGCTTTGAATCCCTACTGGGGAGAAAAGCTGAGCATGAATGAAGTGAACAAAAATGAAAAACATTCTACCTAGAAAACTCACTCACAAATCAACGAAAATGCCTCAGTCCATTGGTTGTCCATTCATATGGAAAGCATGAGTGATAGGGGAACATTTAGTTATGCAAGCCCCCCCCCAACTTTGAAGGGGTATAGCCCAGACCTATTTACCATATCACTGAGAAACATGAGAGGGCCTGGCTCAAGGTCACCCAACCACCTTCCTTCCTGAAAAATAATAACTTGGGGGGGGGGGGGGGCAGGGAATGGGTTTTTTTTTTTTTTAAAAAGATTTTTTTTGGCCTGTAATGGATTTTTTTTCCCCACAGAAAGTTTTCTTTTTCTGAATACTTAAAGTGTTTTGTAAAAACAGGCTACAATCTCAAGGAACTCCTTCCTGAAGTAAGCCCCACTGAACAACAAAAGAGACTTGCTTCTGAGTAGTCCTCCTTATGATGGCTCCCGCAGTAATACAATGAACAGATAACCTGCCTCCTCATTATTACTTAGAAACTGCCCAATTAATTTTTTCCAGGCGACTATGACCAAGAA